CTCTGAGGGACAGGGGGGGATTGTTGGGGTGTCTGGGCAGGGCCAGGGGTTGGATCCACGATCCCTGAGGGTCCCTTCCGGCTCAGGATATTCTGTGTGAATCTCTCCCTGCAGGGAGGGCAGGTGCTCCCTGGTCACCTCCTTTGGTGTGTTCAAGTACATGGCCCTGTACAGCCTCGTGCAGTTCGTGTCCGTGCTGCTGCTCTACACGGTGAGTCCCAAATTCCTGCCCTGCCCCGGCCACCCCCTCCCTGCTGCCTCTGGACCTGGCCCTGCTCAAGGCCCTCGGGGCTCTTCTCCTCCCCAGCTCAACACCAACCTGAGCGACTTCCAGTTCCTGTTCTTCGACCTGGTGATCACCACCACGGTGGCCGTGCTGATGGGCCGCACGGGCCCCGCCCGCGCGCTGGGCCTGGCGCGGCCCCCGGGCACCCTCATCAGCGCCCTGGTGCTGGGCAGCCTCCTGCTGCAGACAGCCCTGCTCATCACTGTGCAGGTCCTCAGCTACTTCATCACCGTCTCGCAGAGCTGGTGAGGCCCCAAACCCCGGGAGGGAGGAGCTGTGGAGGTTGGATGGGAGCTTTGAGGTCGAGTCCTCCCGTGCTCGCCACTGAACCGTGTCCCCGCGTGCCACAGCCACACGGGTTTGGAGCCCCTCCGGGGGTGGGGACTGCACCACCACCCTGGGCAGCCCCTCCCAAAGCTTTACAACCCTTCCTGTGAAGGGATTTTTCCTGATATCCAATCTAAACCTCCCCTTCCTTAGGGATGGGAACGATGTGGAGGAGCCCTGGTGCTTGTCCACCACCACCACGTTCACCACTAAACCGTGTCCTCAGGTGCCACATCCCGACATTTTCCGAACACTTCCAAGGATAGTGACTCCTCCACCACCCTGGGCAGCCTCTTCCAAAGCTTTACACCCTTTCAGTGAAGGGATTTTTCCTGATATCCAATCTAAACTTCCCCTTCCTTAGGGATGGGAAGGACATGGAGGTTGTGATGGAGCCCTGGTGCTCGTCCACCACCACCACGTTCACCATTAACCCAAGTGCCACATCCAGACATTTTTTGAACACTCCCAGTGATGGTGACTCCACCAGTGCCCTGAACAGCCTGTGACAGTGCTTTAGAATTCCTTTCTGTGAAGGAATTCTTCCTGGTATCCCATGCCTTCATGTGGGTTTGGTGATGGGAATGGCACACAGGTTGTGATAGAGTCCAGGTGCTTGTCCTGGCTTTGGGATCCGGGATACCTCCAGCTGTCTGGCAGCAGACATGGAATTACAGAATGTCCTGAGCTGGAAGGGACCCCCAGGGATCATCAATCCAGCTCCTGGCCCTGCCCAGACACCCCAACATTCCCCCCCTGTCCCTCAGAGCATTGTGCAAACCCTCCTGGAGCTCTGGCAGCCGTGGGGCCGTGGCACTGCCCTGGGGAGCCTGGTCAGTGCCAACCACCCTCTGAGGGAAGAACCTTTTCCTGAGATCCAACCTGACCCTGCCTGGCACAGCTCCAGCTGTTCCCTGGGTCCTGTCAGCAGGGAGAGGAGCTCAGGACCTGCCCCTCCCCATCCCCTCCCAAGGCAGAATGTGGAAAACCAGGAGTGACATTCAGACCCTCTTCTCACCTTCCCCTCTTCCGTCCCCCCCGGCTCAGGTTCGTCCCCCTGAACAGCACAGTGACAGCCCCCCAGAACCTGCCCAACTACGAGAACACCGTCCTGTTCTGCGTCAGTGGCTTCCAGTACCTCATCCTGGCCGTGGCCATGTCCAAGGGATACCCCTTCCGGGAGCCCCTCTACACCAACGGTGAGGGTGGGGCTGCCACGGGGGCACAGAGACCCCCCAGCCCTCCTTCTCTTCCTTCTCCTCCTCTTCCTCCTCCTCTTCCTCTTCTTCCTCTTCTTCCTCTTCCTCCTCCTCCTCCTCCTCCTCCTCACCCTCTCCCCTCTCACCCTCAGTGCTCTTCCTGCTCGTCCTCGTCCTGCTCTTTGGCCTCATGATCTGGTTGACGCTCTACCCGTTGGGCTTCCCCAAAACCCTCCTGAAGCTCCACGGCATCGAGGACCTGAACTTCAAGCTGCTGCTGCTGGGAATCGCCGCCCTCAACTTCTTCGCCGCCTTCGTGCTGGAGGTGGGGCCGGGTGGGACGGGAGGGGCCGGGGGACCTTCAGGGGCTCCTCCAGGGGGGACAGGGCTCCCCTCGCCGTCAGCTCCACCCTCTCCTGAGGAACATCCTCCCCAAAGCTGTTTTCCCGCCTTTCTCTGCCCCAGACTGCCCTGGACCATGGCCTGCTCCGCTGCTGCCGCAGGATACGCCGGAAAAAAGCCTCCAAGAAGCTCTTCAAGAGGCTGGAGAAGGAGCTGAGCCAGCAGCAGCCGGGCTGGCCCCCCCTCAACGAGCCCCTCTTTGCCACCCCCAGGATGGCCATGGCCCTGAGATAGCGGGCGCGGGGCCCTCCCGTGCCACCCTCAGACGATGGCCTTTATTTATTGATCCCGGGAAAAGGAGGGATGCGGCGGGCGGGATCCCGCGGCACGGCAGCTCTGGGGCCACAGTCGTGGTGGTCCCACAGGGAGGAGGTGGTGGAGGAGAAACGGGAGGAGAAGATCCAGAGGAAGAGGAGGAACCGGAGGGGCTCTTCCTCCAGGGTTTCTCCCGCTCCTGCGCCGGGCACCGGGGCTGTTCCGCAGCGGAATTCCACCTCCCTCGTCCTCTCCTGGCTGCCCAAACTGAGCTCCATGACCTCTTTCCAGCTGGAATTTCCTAGAAAATAATAATTATGGCTGGAAAACTGCAGGTGGCCTGGCCAAGACTCCAAAACTCACTCCGAGGAAACGCCGCAGACGGAGGTGCCGCATCCCAAAAACAGAGGAGGGTCCCTGATCCTCTCCTGGCGAGGGCACCCCCCCGACCTCGTGTCCATGTCACTGTGACTCCCCTCCATGGCCCTCCCTAGATGTGTAGGAAGTTTACAGTCCCCATTCCCAGCTTGCCAAGGATGCTGCTCCATCCTGGGGACCAACTGCGGGCCCCTTTCCCGCTTGGAATGCTCCCGCAGGGCACTTCTGCTTCCGGCTGGGACCTTTGTAGCATTAAAAAAACCCCAGATCTCTTTATTTTTTAACTACACTCCGATGCCTCGAGGTGTAAAAGCCGTGGGGAGGGTGAAGGTGCCAATTCCAGGTTGTGGACGGCGCCGATTCTGGACGGTGCAGTCGCGGGTGTTGTCTAATAAATTAACACTATTTTCTTGACTCCTTCCTTGTGCTGTCTGGGGATGGATGCAGGATGGCATCCGTGGCACGGGGCAGTTTCCATGGAATATGGGAGCAGGGCAGAGGTTTTGGGGTCACCTCATTCCCCGGCCCGGCTGGAAGACACTCCGATGCTCGAAAGCAGGGAGCGGAGCCAGGGATGACACCGCTGGGATTCCAGCAGCCCAAACTGAGCTAAGTAGCTTCTTTCCAGCTGGAATTTCCTAGAAAATAATAACCATTGCTGGAAAAACCCAGGTGGCCTGGCCGGGACTCTCAGACCTCGCTCCTGCAGCCAAGGAAAAGCCGGTGGACGGAGCCGCCGCATCCCGAGGTGGGAAGAGCTGATCCCCAGGGAGGGGGATGTGCTGCCTGCATCCCCCTCCCAGGCTTTTCCAGCTGCCTGCAAGCCTGGCTCTCGGATCAGAGGCTGGTTCTTGCAGGAACTTGTCTCCATGGAAAGTCTCTCCCCCTCCGAGCGCCGGCGGCCTCTCTGCCCTCCGGGAGCTGGGGATTAGGTCAGGAAATGAGGCACAAGCAGAGGTAAGAGGTTTCCTGAAATCCCAGCCAAGGCTGGAGTTATTAAACCAGACTTTCCCGAGCCTAAAAAAAACCTCCCCACACACAAATCTCGGAGAATTCTGCCTGTTCTTGGCAGTTTGCAAAGCAAAGGCACCCAGGACTCCTCTTCCCCCTGGAATTTCCACACTCCCCTCGGGGTGTTTGGCTTGGCTGGATTCTGAGGGTGTTCCCGGCTCCAGGGGGGTTGTAAAGTCCATTTAATTATTAACAGGCAGCTCCTGCCCTTGGATAAAGGTTACCAGGTCTGGGATGAGGATAATGCTGGATTTGGGGGCAAGGAGCAGCTGTGTTTGGAGTCATTTGATGGTTTTATCCATCCTTCAGCCTGGAAAACCAGGCTCGGGAGGAGATGGGAGTTCTTTAAAACCCTGTCTGCTGCTTATCCTGCTCTGCAAATCCACATGTTCCTGGTTTTGGGAGCAGTCAGCCCCTCTCCTGGCTGCACGACCCCGTGTGAGCCGGGTGGAATCCCGTCCTGTGGATGAAAATCGCGGCTCCTCATCCCCATTCCCATTCCCATCTCCAGAGTCGTTTTCCCTCCGTCCCTCCGTCCCTCTGTTTGCTCCCTGTTGGTTTTACTCCTAAAATCCGCAGGTTTTCATCCCGCAGCTCCGGGCTCTGTGTCACCTCCAGGCTCGGGGGGTTTGGGGGATCATCCCAAGCCCTGCCGGGACGCAGCCAGTATTCCGTGTCCTCTGGAAAGCCGCCAGCAATGCAGGGAAAAGGGGGCCCCACGGGCAGCAGTGCTGGCTTCCCCCCCCCCCCCAGGGCTGCACGTCCTCAGCCTGGGTGGGAAAAGGGGAATTTTGCCTTTTCCCCCCCTCCATCCTGGGATAAAGCTTTAAATCCCCCGGGATCGCAGCATCCTCTGCCCCGGGGGAAGGTGGAGCGCTAATGTCAGTGGACCAGGAGGGAGGACGGGGGTCCAGCAGCCAAAATTTTGGGGTGTATTTGACTTTTCCCAAAAACTGACGAGATGATCCAACAATTCCCTGCCCTGATCCTTGGATCTGTCCCTCCAGCAGCACGAATCCCAGCCCGATCCGTGCCGGTGCTGCACGGAATCCTTCTTCCTCCTTGCTCTTAAATGGGTTTAAAATTCATCCAACCGGGAAAAACCCCCAAGAAACAGCAAAACCCCAACTGCCCCGATGCCCTTCGCATCGAGAAGCTCTCACTGGTTATTATTTGGAATTATTATCCCGGTTTTTCCCCTCCCAGGCAGCAGCGGGAGCAGGAAGGGGCCGGCCCAGGTGTGGCTTTAGGACCCAGCGGATCCCCCATGTTGGAGGTAGGAGGTTTTTTTGGTTTTTTTGTGGTTTTTTTTAACTCTCATTTCCAGAGTTTTTGGAAAGCAGAGAGAAGAGACCGAGGCGGTGGGAAAGGGCAGAGCCGTCACCAACTGGTAAGGACCAGGCGGGAGAGACTCCCCCATTCCCAGGAATTCTGGGGACACCCCCCCCAGCAGCAAAGGGGGCTAAACCCCCATTCCTGGGGCTTTCCAAAATCACCTTAGAACCTCCATGGGTTGGGGCAGCTCGGAAAAGCTGCTTTGAACTCTTTAATCCCAGAAAACCAAACCCCACTCGATTTTTGGGGTGCTGAAGGAACGGCAGCCGCGGGGGGGTGGGGGGGGACACGACCAATTTCAGAGGCCTGACAGTTGTTGGAGGAGATTTTTTAACCACTTCCAGAAAATATCCTAAAGCTGAAAACCTTCAGCCTAAACCTGAAGGAAGCCGTGGTGGTTTTTTTTTCCACCCTGGAAAGAGACTCTAAAAAGGACTCTTTGATTGTTTCTGTTGATTTGGGGGGACGGGACCCCGAGGAAAAAGTGAGGTGTGAAAATGGGGATGGGGGCACCGAGTTTTGTACCTTTGGGCAAGGGCCAAAAAAAACGGGAATCCTTTTATATTCCCTTTGTTCTCCCACTCTCTGGCAACTGGAGAGCTAGGGAGAAAAAAAAAA